AACGAAAGCAGTAAATCAACACTAGAATGATCATGGAGAAACCAAACTGGAAAAAACCCCGGACACTTTGCCAGTCAACAATTCACTGTAAATGATATGTAACTTGCAGTCTACTAGCCTATACGACGACACGTACTATCTGATCTCCCGACTACAATTCAAACAGCTTTCCCGAATTCTGTGCTCCTGCACCACTCCCAACTGTAATTTTTAAAACTCTCCTGGATTCTGCTCTGTTGCAGCAACTCCTAACTTTGTAAAATCGTTTATCTCATGTGGATCCACGAAAAACACCGAGTTCTTCGCAAACTAGAACTCCAGTCAAATTTCCTCAATCTTCAGATCAGATATAGAGGAAAAGCAGTTTGGTATTTAGATTATGGAATCGATGTTTTTCTCATCAAAACAATCTTACAAGATAAAAGTTGAAAGTAAGAATATGATAGTATTCTCTTAGATGAAGTTCTCACAATGATCAACTTTCAAAATCACGATCAAATATGTTTTGAAATTTATAGGTAAGTTAGAAAAACGAATGGGTCAGGAAAAAACCTTTAAAATGCAAAATAAATTTCTTTTTGAATAAAGCTTTCGCTCGAGCGAGAACCCAGCGACAGTCGAGCAACAGTATGTTGCTCGAGCGAAAGAGGGGCGGTGGTCTAGCAGCAATGTTTCTGCTTTTGTAGCTAGACCCAAACATTGGCAACAGTCAAGCGAAAATTCGCGTCGTTTTCCACTCATTTCCATTCTCGAACCCTAGACCTAATAACCTTATTTTTACCGTATTTGCACATTACTCGTTGACTTTTTAAACATAGTATAATTCAATCATTTTTGTTTACAGAATCACCTATTACAAAATATCGAAAACCTAACACTCGTCAAGTCGATAAGTCCACTAAAAACATTTTCGAGATATTCTCTCAATATAAGATGATCTATATTTTAGGTTGGAGAGCCAAACACTTTTTAAAAAGTTAAAATACCGAGCACAATGAAATTAGTATTTATGCATCGACATTTACTATAGAGCTAGGCACTGTGCCGGGGTTGCCCACGAACGAATAAAGTATGTATTAAGGTCCCCCCAAGAATCTGGCTAATTTTCAGGAGTTCTAAACTAAGCTCTATCCGTTCTTACATTATAATTATTGCGCTCAATAAATCACATACCGTAATATTCTATTCTTTAAATTATTCAGATCATATTTTAATTGAATGACCATTGACATACGAAAAATATATTAAATAAAATCAATAAATATTTTTTGAAAAAAATGCAAAATGAAGAGTCAGAATAAATAACATCATCGAAGTGTATAAAATATTTTCCTCGATGCTCTATCTTTCTATATATAAAGGTTTAACGGAAAATCTAACGGAATCTCTTGTTTTAACGGAATCTTTTTTTCACCGTTAGTTTTATTGCTCCAATGGTCAAAGAAGAAGAAAGAGCGTGAGATATATAACAAACCCCCTCATAATTCCCATTTCTCTCGATTGCTTATAAAAAGTATATTCTCAAATTCCAAAATTTGATCTCGTCCAGATTCAGAGCCTCTTTATTTATTAGTTTCCATATTTCTAATTGATCTATCATTAGTTTTTCACAATAATTTTTGCAAAGAAAGGGAAAATATATACGCTGAAGTAATGAACTCGAATGCTCCGTCAACGAGTAACGGAAGACCTGGATCAGTCGACTCAACAGCGCCCAGAAGGAATTTCAAGTGACCCAAATGTATTTTTCTCTTCCTACACAATCTGGTTTTCGTATCTTGATTATTCTTATTTATATTGAATGATATTTAAATTGGAAATTGCTAGGTACTACGCAAACAATTGTCTAGAAAATTTAACTGGGTTTAAGGGTGGGGGCTTGTCTTTGAATCCTCGTTAATATGTATATCGCTGGAAAGTGTATTAAGCATGTTATTTTATGTTACAAAGGGCACCTGCACAATATTTAAGCATGTGGGTAGTACTCGTGGATTCCACTAGATATGTGGATGAAAGTGATTTGACTTTTATCATGTTTATAAACACTTGCCAAATATACAAGGCTGCATAAATTTTCTCCAATTTTATAGGCATGTTTGCTGCCAACAGTTATATGATTTATCTAGCATCATCATTTACTCTTGGAGCATACATCTACTGGAATAGAGTGCCAAAAAGAGACTCACATATATAGCTTATCCTAAATTTATTGAGAACAAGATTAGTTTGTTGTCTACGAGTATACATATTATTTTTGTGGTAAATGGAAAAATCGAGAACAGATTAAATATAGAAAATTTAATATATGATGTTTTATTAGGAGGATGAACATGACCAGGAGGAATTAAAGTCTGTGGATGCCTTGTGTTAAGCACTTATTCTGGAAGAATTATTGCCTGGAAAATACGATGACTATCATATGATGCTAAGGTAACATTCTTTTTAGTTTTACTGTCTCCAAGATCCTTTATTTGATTTTGAGATGGATGCAATGTACCTTTTTGGTCCAATAGCAGCAATTTGAATTACATGAGGGATGCAAATTTTCATTATCCATTGCTTGGTGAATACCTTGAGATTTTCTGTTTAAGAAACTGAATTCTTTTTCCTTGAGCTCGTAAAGATTATAATCCTATCTATTTTAAGGTTTAGCACCATTGATACAGAAAACTTCTTGAAATGGGTGATATAGATTATGATTTGCTTGTGCTGCAGAGTTTGTATTTAATGAAGAAACTTCTGATGTAGAATTTTGTTTTGATTATAAATTATATTCTTGACAATGAGGCCAAAGACTTTAGTTCTTAAACAATAAGAGAACAACAGTCAAGTTTAAATAGTTTTTGTGTGATGATACAAGTTTTTGAAGGCAAGGAAATTTGATATTGAGAAAACAAAGCAAATGTGGTCCGATATGATTCACTGGATGAAAGATTTTGGTTCTGACACAATTGTGGAGGTATTTGTGTTGCAGATCCTTTATTTGAGATATCCGATCATCAAATATTTGGGAAAAGATAGTAACTTTTGTATGCACACGAATTTCGTATCACCTATATATTTTGGTTAGGAATTTGATTTCAAGGAGGGAGAGAAAGTCCTTAACTACTATCCACAAGGGCATCATGGAGTTGACAAGGAAGGAAGGCCTATTTATATCGAAAGACTTGGACCGGTACATGCAACCAAGCTTTTGCAAGCCACAACAAAGGACCGCTACGTTCAATATCACGTCCAAGAGTTCGAAATGACATTTATTGATAAGTTTCCAGCCTGCTCCATCGCAGCCAAAAGGTACATGGACCAGAGCACAACCATTTTTGACGTACAAGGAGTGGTATGTGAGGCTATTTATTGCAATTTAACATTTGGGTGTTATTACTTTGCTTGTGAT